CTCTTCATACTTTCAACATACACCGAGCCCATGTCTCTTTAACACAGCGGTTCATATGGATCACATCAATACGAGACTTCTCACAGTGACAATCATGTCCCCGGGCCTCCTAGCCAAGATATCGATGCTGGCTCCTCGTACGGTTCATACAAGTACATAACAATACAGTCAATTATATTCCACGCTCTGGGCATACTACTACATCTATTGGGTACTACTGAATTAGGCAGATTCTCGTGGCTCTCCTCCTTGCCATCTGTGCCCAACCGGCGCCTGGTCCCGGCGGGAAATGGCCGCATTGGGCTTCAATTTGGAACAAGGATTCGACATGTGCCAAGTGGATGTCGGTTCCAGTAGTACTACTACATACTACCGACTTTCTGGGGATTCATGCCAAAAAGACTATTTGTCCTCTTCGAGGGACGGCAGCAGGGATCCAACCGTGGACATGCCATATCTGTCGTTCTCGGGGCGTTTTCCTGCCCAACCTTGCTGACGCCCTGAGGGACAAGGGAGCTTCTTGGAGGGCCGGTCTGTATGCATACGTGTATCTGTTACTGGAACAAGTATCTGTATGGCCGGTCCTCTGTTGAAAGTCCGGCCTTGGCCCAGGCTTGCAGATACTATGCAGCGGGCATGCAGCAGGCTTCCATGTCCACATACGGGCATGCAAATCTGTAAGTGTTTCTTGCCTTAGTCTGCATGGCCCATGCCTGTATGTGCACGTGTCCGGCGGGAGAAGCTCGATATCAGGCGCCGTATTGGACACAGCATGCTAGCAGGCAGGCTCCAACATTTCTCTCCATATAATCGTACATATATCCATGTGTGTATCTAGCACGACATTAGCCTGCTTTAGACGACGATGCTCAATGACATGTCACTGCAGAAGTCATCGTGTTCCGAGAGCGAACATCGGCCGTTCTTGACTTGACGCAAGCACAAGAGCGCCGTATCAAGACCATATCACACAGCATTGGGGGCCATTTCTCTCCGTCGGGTGGTAAACCGTCTTGATTCTCGCGGATGAAAAAGGCCGAGTTTTGTTCAACCCCGGTCCGGTTGGGCACGATGATGGATCGCCGTAGCAGCCCAACCCGATGGTCTGTGTGCTTCGTAGTCTGTACGAGTTCTGTTGGTGCTGGTCCACTTGGGAATTAGCCGTCAGGAACTGGCGTGGGAAGTGGAAAAAGATACCATTGAAACGAAAAAGAGACTCCCAGAGGTTCCGGGAGAAGGATGACTCTCGTATGAGGATGGACAAGGTTTTGCTAGTCGGTTGGCTGGTGGTTGAAAGGGGGGAGGAATCCAAGAGCCGTCCGTGGCTGCCGGTGGTTTTCATGTTCGATTTCGGAGCATTTACACCGTCTGTAGCAGAGTCGTGTGACTGATGTATCCAACTTGAAGATTATTCATCCACGAGATCTCTTTGATGCAGTCGATTCGGAGATCCCATGCAGGATACAGCTCACTCACAGCGGTTCCTGGCTAACTCGTCCACCGAGCATAAGCGGGAACATGCCTGCTCGACCAGGTAGAGCAATCAATCGGAAACGAATGATCCAGAAGATAATGCAAGAGTAAGGTAACCAGACCTTGTGGTCAGCTAGCCTGCTCTCCTGCTGTAGCTCTGAATGCGACCCCTTCGGGCCTTATCGGAGCAAGACGTTCGAGACCGTTTTTCCTGTGCTAATACTGCAGCGCGGCGCTATAGCGGTGGTGCGGTCGC